TGTCACTTAGCTTTTGTCACTTAGGGACAACCTAAAAACCTTTGTACTTAGAAACTACCTTGAGACAAAACATTATAGAAACATTTGTATACTTCATACCAACCCCATTTCTCTCCCATTATCCTTAGAAATAATCACTATCTTAAGTTTGGTGATCATTATTCCTATGTGTGGTTTCACATCTTCACTATGCATGCATGCACATATTTTTAAAACCTTCAGTGCATAGTGTCAGAATGTAAATATTCTTTGGTATGTTTGTTGCTATATGGCATTCCTAAAGTGGATATACCACAACTTTTGGGGGTTTTTGTTTGTTTTCATTTTTTGGGGGGGTGGCTGGTACTAGGTCAGGACCTTGCACTTGCCAGGCAGGACCAGGAGCTGTGCCACTGAGCTAAATCCCCAGCCCTATTTTGTTTTTGAGATAAGAGTCTTGCTATGTATCCCAGGCCGGCCTTGAACTCACAGCAATTCTCCTGCCTCAGCTTACTAAGTGCTGGGACTACAGGTATGTGCCACCACTCCTGGGTAGTTGTATACAACTTTCCCTCCTGATATCACTTTGTTTCCCATGGTCCTATGCTAATGCTCCAGTGAGGCACAATTGATTAAAGTCATTTTTAATTTTATATAAATTCTTAGTATGTTTTTAAAAATCTATAAATTCTTTCAATCTGGAGGCTTAAGCTACTTCTGCAGATAATTAATCTCATTATTTATAATTCTTACTGGACTTAGAATAGTACTCTCCAGACCCGGTACCTCTGAACTCCTGGTGCACTCAATGATTGTTGTTTTTCTGTGAAATCTTTCTCCTCAATGTGCAACTCTGTGAGCAACGCAACACTTTCGAAGAACCCACACTTTGAAGATCCAAGTCATTTTTCTTTCATCAGCATTCAAACCAAAGCTTCTCACACCATTATGGTCTGTGTTTGTGTCTCCCACACATTTGTGGGCTGAAGTCCTAAGTCCAATGCGACTGCATGGGGAGACAGAGCTATGGGGAAGTAACAGGTTAAACAGGGTCTGAAGAAAGGGTCTTGATCCCTAAGATTACGTTTTCATAAGTGACAAAAGAGAGCTTCTTGCTGCCAACCTTGCTATCTGATCATGGACTTGCAGCTTCTAGACTGTGAGCAACTAAATTTCTGATGTTGAAGCTATACCGTCTGGCGCAGTCACAGCAGCCTAGCAAACCGGCACGTGCTGCATCTCCAAGAACTGACTGCATGGCCTTCTGCAAAGGAGTCTTGACCATGGGTTCAAAAGCAGCGGGAGGTCTGGGTTCGCATTTGAGCTCGGCCTTTCTTGACTCAAGGGTATGGAAGATAACTTACCCACATAATGAGTGGCTTTTAAGTAGCACTTCTTCAGAACCCTCAAAACTTTTAAGCTAAGGCTGGGCATAGTGGCGCACACCTGTAATCCCAGCACTCGGGAGGCTGAGGCAGCAGGATGGTTGCGAGTTCGAGACCAGCCTGGGCTACAAAGTGTGCTCAAGGCCAGCCTGGACTGCATAGTGAGACCCTGTCTCAAAAAGACCAAAAAATAAATAAATAAATAAAAAGCTTTTAAACTAAAAGTGATGAGTTCATATATTATATACATATGTTAAATTATAGAAAAACAAACAATTGACACTTGTCATTGAAAATCATATTGTAATGAATATTGTGTAAACTTGTTTTAAAAAAAATTGCTTTGCTAATTAACATCAAGGCTATAGTGTTGAGAAACCCTACCCTTTTTTTTTTTTAATTTTTTATTTTAAAGAATAAAAGAAGGATAACATAATAATAGGGGGGACTTAGCAAATTACAGACAAAATGGTAGGAAATTATCAATGGTTATCGTTTTACATATTATTATCTACAAAATAGTTTCTCAGGAAAACAAATAGACAAATAATAGTGAGTTAGAGACAAAAGAGGTAGGAGATTATCAAGAGTTGTTGTGCTATACTTTGGTATCTTCAAAGAGGCTTCAAAAGAAAATAAATAGAGCTATACATGAGTGACCTATTGAAAAATCATTAACTATTCTCAATGGTTGTTGTAGGAAACACATAATAATAAACATACATTATGAAATAGGATAGGAACATTACAAACTTAACACAGTTATGGATAGATTAGTAGGAAAATATCAATGGCTGCTGTAATACGTGGTGGTATCTTCAAAGTGAGAAACCCTACCCTTTAAAATTACGGTTTGGCAAAAACTTTGAAATCCCATCAGTAACAACAGAACATCCTTCTCGTTAGGATCCCAGGCATGAGTCACTTTTTAGAACTGCTTTACTGAAGTATAACTGACAAAAGCTTAAATACTTAAAATATACAATTTGATACATTTTAGAATATACATATACCTATAAAACCACCAAAATGATGAACATATACATCATTCCTAAGTTCTCTGGTACCCCTCTGTCTCTCTTCCATCTCTCTTTGCTCCCACATCCTCAAGTAACCACTGACGGGCTTTCTGTCACTAGGACTAGTTTGCATTTTCTCATTCTGTATAAGGGGTTCTGGCTTCATTTACTCAGCAAACCTGAAATTCATTCATGTTGCTTGCTGTATTTATAGTTCATTCCTCTTTGAGTGATACTCTCTTGTAAGGTCAGTGTCTTAGTTACTTTTCCCTCATTGCTGAGACAAAATACCTGACGTCCAGAATTAAGGAAGGAAACGTTTATTTAGCTCACAGTTTGTGGAGGTGTCAGTCCATTCTTGGCTGACATTCAAGGCAGAGTGGCACACGGCAGAGGGCAACAGTTCATGGTGGTGGAGGATAGCAAAAACAGCCAGAGCAAAAGGGAGGAGTGGCGGCAAGGATCCTCTTTCTCTCCCTTACATATACAACCTATCTGCCCTAGGGAGGGTGTAGCACTCACACCCATAATCCCAGCACTGGATCATGGATCAATTATAAACTCTAAATCCCACCCCATGACTGCCTGAGGCTTTGCGGGGACATCCAGACACAAACCATAACAGTCAACCAACCCCCCCAAAAAAGCAATCTTTATTTCCAACTGAGGTGCTAAAACTGAGGCGCTTCAGACATATTTTACATTAATCTTTTCTTTTTTTTTTTTTTTTTTTTTTTTTTTTTTGAGACAGAGTCTCACTATGCAGTTCAGGCTGGTCTTAAGCTCACTTTGTATCGCAGGTTGGCCTCAAACAACAATCCTCCTGCTTCAGCCTCCTGAGTGCTGGTATTATAGGAGTGCCCTACCACGCCTGGTTTACATTAATCGTAACTTTGCAGTTCACAAGGGATTAGAATCTCAGTCTACATAGACCAGCACTAACATTAACTCTGTTCACCCATAGCCTTGCTTTGTTTTGAGTCTTTCAATGCATTGCTTCAATAAATTTACCTAAACTTCATTCTGCTGCCAATCAATAACCTTAGTTTATGGCACTGTATAACTACACATTCTTGGTGGGCTTTATCAGATGAATAGTAATGCCTTTTTTCTTGTCTTTTTTTTTGACAGGGTCTCACTATGTGGTTCAGGCTGGCCTTGAGCCCACTGTGTAGCCCAGGAGGGCCTCGAACTCACAGCAATCCTCCTGCCTCAGCCTCCCGAGTGCTGGGATTACAGGCATGTGCCACCACACCTGGCTATCAGAGTTTTAGCAATTGACATGAATTTTCATGACTACACTAAGTGCAAAATAGTACATAGAAAGTTAAAAATCAGTATAACTGTATTGCCAAATACAATGAACATATTTGTTTTCTACTTCTAAGATTAAAAAGTTACTGAAAAAAAGAACAAGAAAAGTAATACAGTTTTATTGAATCAATATTCGCTAGGCTGCCAAAGGGCCTGGCACACCCACTACAATTACACTAATAGTTTAATTTCATAAATCCACAGGTGCTGATCTAGAAAGGTCAACAGAACTGCTCAAGAAAGTCATGACCCTTCCTGTCTGGAACCAAAATAGGTATATAAGGTTATAAAACTTATTTTTAAAATCTGAATAAAATGTGTTAACTTTTAGAGTTTAAGAACATTCCAGTAACACCTTTCTGGTCTTATAATTTATAGTCTTTAATTATAAGTCTGCATCAAGTTAGCATGAGTAGTTTACTTTTATTATTTACAAAATTCTCCTCCACCCATTAATCACGTGCATTACACACTGCTGCAAAGTAGGTCAAAATATTCATTACACTTCTTAGCATTCCGTGCTCGTATCTGGTTCACTTGCTTACAAGCCAATTATGCTTTAATGATAAAACATTACATTTCCTTATAGCAAAATGAAATTTAAATACTACCCTAATGTACAGTAGCTGTCAAATCTCTGCACTTGAAATCTGAAAAGACAATTTGTTTCCTTCTAATGCTACTTCCCACAGTTGGTTAACACATAGCATATATATATTTTTTTTTAAAAAGGAATTTTGGAAACATCTTTAGCAGCACTGTATAGAAGTTTAAGATGAAACGCAAGGAGAAAACTAGCTCTACACGTAAATACAACCTAACGTGCTTCATCTTATTACTTCTTGTTAAAGCTACAAATTAGGAAAATAATAGTGGCGCCTACACATTTCCCGGCTTTGAAATTCTGGGAACAAGATTCCGGAGAGCACGATGACCTTAGGCATAAAATTCATTTCCACTCCAACATCACCCCAAAATCAAAAATGAAAGACCCCCCCGCAACAGCGGGGCAGCTGCGACGTAGACCCCGCGACGCGGTTCTTCGCTCTTCCCACCCCGCCTCCCACAAGCCCCTCCCTGGCACTCTTTCGGAGAGCCAGGGCTCCAGCTCCGCGCCACCCGCCATCCAGAAGCGCTTTCCCGCAGAGGCTTCCGGGCCCCGAGTCCGGAGTCACCGGCCCCGCGCTCCAGGTCTCCGCCCGTTCGGAACCCACCGCCACCACAGCCCCGGCCGAGCCGAGCCCCAGCCCCGCCTATAGCCCCGCCCACCGCGCCCACGTCACGCCCACCGCGCCCACGTGACCCGCGGCCGGCCCCGCGCACGCCGAGGAGCGCAGCTCCAGCCGCCATTGTTCCGCCGGGGGAGGACAGTGGGGGCCAGGCGCCGGAGCCGAGACGCCGCTTAGCGGCCGCCACTGGACACACTCCCTCCCTTCTCCCACTTCGCCTGGCGGCGGGGGCTGCGTGAGGCTGATACGGGACATCCGGGAGCACCCCCCTGTCGTCCCCGCGGCGGCGGCGGTCGAGCCCCGGCCCCGGCCCCGGCGCGAACGGCGGCCGAGATGCGCTCGGCTTGAGGCGGCCCGGACCTCGGCGCCGCGCTCGGCTCTTCCGCGGCGTCCCCGCGCCCCGGCGTCAGCCCCCGAGTCCCCCTGACGGGAGCGAAGATGGCTGCGCGGAGCTGGCAGGAGGAGCTGGCCCAGCAGGCCGAGGAGGGCTCGGCGCGGCTGCGGGAGATGCTCTCGGTCGCCCTGGGCTTCCTGCGCACGGAGCTGGGCCTCGACCTGGGGCTGGAGCCGCGGCGGTACCCGGGCTGGGTGATCCTGGTGGGCGCCGGCGCGCTCGGGCTGCTGCTGCTCGCGCTGTTGGGCTACGGCTGGGCCGCG